CAAATGGCTGCAATATAACAGAGTGAAAAATTTAAGGGGGTCTGAATACTTTCCGTACCCACTGTATATTGTTAAACATTGCATTTTACATTTATATAAAAAAAATTAAAGCTGTTAATCTAAAATCAGTTAATCCAATTGGAAAAATGCTAATAATGTTAAAAGCATGCATAACAAGCCATTATGTTGTTTAAAGTTAACAAATGCAGTAAAGAGCTAACATGTTCACTACTGTATATAAACACCAATTTATTTGTTCATCATTTGTAGCATCAATTATGAATGTATAAAAGAAAGCAAATATATAATGCAAATAATTTTAACAGAGTAAATGTATATAACAGGGGTATTCAAGCAAGCGATTAGTCAACAGAAGAGACAGACGGCTGCACGTGAGTGTCCTGCATAATACTTGTTTATAGATCTGCTGTTGGAATTATTACTTGCTGCTAGGAAGGAATATTTCGTTTTCTGCCTATTTCTACGTTATATTTTTGTTTGCGTTTGTATTTTTGATTGCACTTTCTGGTAATTATAATAATTGCCCTCGGCAAAGAAGGAGCGCGTGTAATTTAATTGCTCCCTTCCTGCGTTTAAGTGCGAACTGTAGTTTCGATTTGAGGAATTGCCCTGCTATAGACTATTGGCTGTGCTAATTAGAAGGCGGCCACAGCCCCAATTGTAAGTCGCTTTGGATAAAAGCATCTGCTAAATGACTAAATGTAAATGTAAATGTAAATGTATACAATTAAAGTTCCAAGAGGTCTTGTCTCAATATATCCTTTCCAGTGGACACCAGTAATGCAGTCAAAAATAGTCAGGATATTGGGTCCTCAGAGCCACAGGCCAGTGGCTTCTGAGAATTTTTCTATAAAAAAAATAAAAATTCATCAGTGTCAGGGATTCATCACAGTCACTGCAGTCACCAGCCAGGATAATCACCCAATCACAGTCACCTGAGTTCTAATCACCCGCACCTGCTGTCACCAATCAAGCCACACTACAAATACACACACATCACAGTCACTCACTGTCCGATCTACCGTTCACTCCTATGGACTGTTCTGGACTCTCTATACGATATTCTCCTAGAAAGACTTACCTTCTGGTTCTCCCGCGATCCTCCAACGACTCGTTGGAAGCTGTTCCACGATCTCCCTCGAAACCGGCATCAGACACTCACCCTCAGAACTCAGATAAGAACCCTGGAATCATTCACTCTGTTGACACTCACCTGCCTTAAACCTAACCCGTTCCACTCCTCTACCTCTTGTATCAATAAACCATCCTGTCTTTCACTTACCCGTTGTGTCTGGCCTTGCTTTATGACAATCAGTGAAGCCTAATATGAATATTAAAATATAAGATCAGATGTTTAACCAAGCTATTATGTTTTATGTTTAGATACTGTACATAAAGTGGGTACGGAAAGTATTCAGACCCCCTTAAATTTTTCACTCTAATAAATCTGCAAAAATGTCAACGATTCTGTGTTTTTCTGTCAATATGGGGTGCTGTGTGTACATTAATGAGGAAAAAAAATTTACTTAAATTATTTTAGCAAATGGCTGCAATATAACAAAGAGTGAAAAATTTAAGGGGGTCTGAATACTTTCCGTACCCACTGTATGTAAGGCAGAAGGCCATGTGACAGAAAAGATACTCTATGGGGGTTCAGAGTTTTCCTCTTGAAGTCTGGACCATCTTTATATTTTGCTTAAAACAAGCATAATCAAAACACTCTCATCATGTGCAGAAAACAGTTAACCAGTAATTTCAATGTTTATGATGTCTTTCCTTGCCATCTACAAATAATTTTCCCAATTTCAATAATTATGTTTATTTTAAAATGCTCTTAACATACTGATTAATAATGCTAAATGTAGATGTCACATTTTGAACGGTCAGAGTCATATACGTATGTATGATAGGTAAAAATAACTATATTTGCAGCATTGTTGTTTTCTGCAGTGCTTTAGCAAAAGTATCTATCTATTTTGCTGCTCACTGTGATTCTGCTTCTGTTAATGGCGCTTTAGTGTCTTTATGGAGAAGCAATGCACATGGGAAGGGCTTGAATGAATCACATTTGGCTCTGGGTAAAAAAAATATTAGAGGATATAATGGTGAAAGTTCATTGCAATAAATGGCCCTGAGAGCTGGTGGTGTGAACCACTCCGTTGTTTTGAAGCACTGCTCACTTCATTTAGAAATGGTAAAATGGTGCTGCATGCCGTTGCCATTATGTCTTGTGGTCCGGTTTGGAACAAAGCTGAGCCTGCCATTTGAATATGCCTGGTATATAACAACTTGCATCACAGATTTTTAGAGCTTTTTTCATGCAATTTCAGTAATCTAATCAGTTTATTGTACAGACACTTTAAATTGCATTCATTTTGTTGCTGAAAATCAGTACATGCATTGTTCAAACCCATTGAGAGTTTAAGCATAGAAAGCTAATACATAGATATTTCTTCACCATTGGAGTAAATAAGCCTGCTGTGTCGATTCTGAGGCTCTGTGTTGTTCTTACAGAAAGTCCGTGAAATTTTCTTCAAGTGGTTTCTGAATTTTATGCCCATAAAAACATAAAACACAGGATTCAGGCAGCAGTGTGAGAAAGCCACCATCTGAGAGATGTACATCCAATAGTCTATAGATTTACTCAGCTTACAATCACTAAAAGGAGAGATTTCCCATGCAATCAGAGAGTCCAGAAATATGGCCATGTTGTATGGCCCCCATCCCAAGAAAA